ATCCGCCCGTCTTGGCCTCCCAAAGTGCTGGGATTACAGGCTTGAGCCACTGCGCCCGGCCTGTCTGCATATTTTATAAAGAGACCTGCCTTCCAGAGACTGGAAGTAAAAGACATCCAATGACTGGGTGAGTCATCCTTTCTCCACCTAGAACACAGTCCTTGATGGAAATCATGCTTCATCAATTGTTGTTGAGTAGAAGAAACAAACACATCCTCCAATCTTCACCTGGTGGACCTGGCATCAAAAAATAATCATATTAAGTGCATTTATTAGTACACTTTTCTGGTTATTTGAGTTCTTGCCTTTGAAGGGTTTGCTGGCTGTGAAAAGTAACTTAACTTCTTAATAACTTTCTTTGCTTGGCCTTGAGGCAACTTTAGAAGATAAGACACCAAAAGGAACTATGTGTGTCTGGAGAGAAAAAAAATAATGGTGAAAAACGTTTATCAGCAGCCTCCACCAGCACCAAGCAACGCCTCAATTTTACTCAAGCAATTTCCCAATTCAATTAACATTCATATGAATCAGCAAATAATATGTAGCAAATTTGAATCCATATCCTTTTTTAAACAAAAACACTGGAAAGAATCTTAAAAGTCATTGAATCCGTTTTATAGCAAGGCCCTGAGACTGGAAGGGACTAACAGAGCTAGAATTGAAACTTGCTTTTCCACCTCGAGAAAAACGAGTCAACAAATACCCTAAGCAATTGCTGGTATCTGAATCCCACTTTTTTGAGGCTGTTTCCTTTGTTATGTTGCACTGACCCGAAGCACTTTCTTCCCAGAATGCACCAAGAATTCAAAACTCCAAACAAGTTTGGGATCAGTGTTGGGGGGTGGGAGGCAGTGGGGGTGCATCTACGGGGGCGGGTGGGCTATGAGCTTTCGCTACATCACAGAATTGTGCCAGTGTTTCTCTTTGGAGTGCCTCGCCAGCTTTAATAACTGTTTCAATATGATTTGCTCGGACAGAAGGTGTGCATTGGCCCGATCAAGCCTGACTTGTAGCCAAGGTGAGTTCACATCTCCATTTTTTCCTCCCCATAATTTGAAAGAGGCTTTTAATTGTCTCCGCTCCTCCCCCCTTCCCCGGGAAAGTTTGTTTTCAAGCTATAAACCCTCTGCAATTCTCGGTTTTCATCTCGGTTGCCTGAGAATCGCAGTCATTATTAGCCAAGTCCACTTGGACGAAAGCAAAGCTACCTTTGTGTACATAATGAGAGCCACCGCGTGGCCAAGGAGAACCACGGGGAAGAGGGAAACAGTTTTCTCTCGAGCTGCCCAAAGCGGGCGGGGAAGGGAGGCAGGGTTAAACCGACCGAAGGCGTGTTTTGTGGAGTGGCTTCGAAAGCTGCCGAGGCAGCCGAAGCCGCTTTCGAAGTTAGCAAACAAAGCGTCTCCCCAGTAACCGCCCGGTTCCAGGCGAGGCTCCTGCCACTCAGGCCGCGGAGTCGCAGCGTCGCCCGGCCCCCGGCCCCTCCTCCCTGCGTCTCTCCTCCCTCCGCTCCCGGCTCCCCAGCGGATATGAGCCACCAATCCCAGCCACAAACAACCCTTCAAATGAAATAGCGAGGCGGCCCTCTAACGGGCGGCGGGGGCGCTGGCTCCCTCCCCGCGCCACATCTGTCCCGCACCGGGCGCAGCAGCTGATTCATCTGCAGCCAGGTCCGGGAAGGAACTGTGCTCCCGGCAGTTGCAGGGCAGCGTCCGGGCGGGTGGCTTCTCCCCAGGACCACGTTCCCCCCGAGCCGTTTTAGATGTGTATTCTCTTCTGTGCCGAGCAGTCAGCAAACCACAGAAGAAAAAAATCGTAAGGTCGCTGCCTTCTTAGAGAGACGCTTTTTTCCCCTGTTGATTCATTTTAAGTCCTGTAATTGGAAAAACCACCCAGGCTTTTTAAACTCTGGCCTCCACGCACTCTCGGAGCGGGGGTGTCTTTTTTTTTTTTTTTTTTTTTTGAGGGAGGGTGGCAGGCTGGCTCTAATTTTCGGGGTAATCCTAAAACAGACTCTCCAAAGTGGAGTTAGTTATCCCTTGGCCGTCTTAGTACTCCTCGGGTTTAATCTTATTTCCACAGAGTTTCTTCTGCCGGGATCTCTACCGAGGTTACCGAACAAAAACAGCAAAGCCCAGGCTGGAGGCAGACCCGGGCGCTGCCTCTGCTGGGCTTATTTGTTTGGGGTTTTTCTTTCTTTTTTTTTAAAGTGATGGGGGAAGTCTCATTGTGTGGCATGTGACAGTTCATTTGCTTCAAAACAACAGGACGTAACCACGCGAAAACTAGAACCAGAGGAAGGGGCATGCGTTTCTTTAAAGTCAGCCAAACAGCATCTGGTCTTTGAAAGGGCAATTTCATCAAGAAACTCCCGTTGGATCCCTCCTAATGTGGACCAAAATAAGTCAACAGGAACGGGTGTTTACTTAATGGCTAGTTTCTGTTTGAAATACCGGAGGGGAGGAGGGATCCCCTACGAGGGTTCCAGTCCTAAAAGCAGACACTGTTGACCGAAACAGATGAGCAGCCACAGCGTGGTCACCCCTTAGCTATAAAAGTGGCCGCTGCCGGGGTCCGGCGACTCGGGGTGTCAGGCGGAGTCTTGGCGAGGCGGGTGCGCGCCCTGCCGTCCCCACCAGGCAGAGACGTTTAAAGAGCATGTGAGCATGACAAGTGTCTGTCCGCAACGTGTCAGATTTCGAAACTGCCTTGCAATCCAGTCCGGAACTCGCAGCTTTAGCCCGGGGGAACAGACGTTCGCTGAGGCTGTGTCTCATCATTCCCCCCCCACCACCCCCGCCGACCTCCCACTGTTGCTGCTGGAGGAAGAGCCCCGGGAGGAGAAGGGTGCGCCGCGCCGCGCCCGCGTGTCAATGGCAGCCGCGCATTCTGGAAGAAGTTGGTTCTTGTCTCGAATACTTTTCCTCCCGTGCCCCGCCCCTTGAATCACAGGCGGCTGTCCTGTGCGGCTAGAGCAGGGACAGTGGAGTTCGGGGCAGCTGTCAAAAACGAGACGGGGAGGCTTTTCTTCCCTGGGGTGGAGGAGGGAAGAAGGGAGGTGTCCTTTTTTCCATCTATTGCAGTTTGCTAACCAAACGCACCCTCGCCAGCCCCGTGAAGAAAGGCCCAAGGGAAAAACCTGGGGCGCTCGGCTGGTTCCCCCACCGGCGGGCGAGGGATGCGGGCGGTCAGTGCGCGGCAAGCGGAAAGGATCGCGTTTCTGGACCCGGCCACCCCCCGCGTCCGCGCCGCCGCCCCCAAGGGACGAGTGACAGCGGCCGCTGCGCTCGGTCCAGTCCTCCTGGCTGGAAGGTGCGGGGGAGGGGCGGAGGAGCGGCGGGGCGGGAGGGGGACGGGGCGGGCGGCTGGGGGCGGAGGCAGGACCTCCTGTACCTTCCCTCCTCGCCTCTCTCACTCTGACAGCGCCGAGGTGCGCCGAGCAGGAGCAGGGAACAAAGGAGCAGAGAGGGGAGGGGAGAGAGTTGGGCGAGGGAGAGCCCCCGGCCGGCTGCCAGAAGATCCCGGCGGGAGGAAGCCCAAGTGTCACTTGAATTCCACCCAAGGAGCGGACGCCTGGGATCAGAGCGCCCTGTTTAGCAATAACGGCTGGAGCACGTCCTACAAGTTACGGGAGAGTCGGCTGTGAAGGAGACGTTCGCTTGTCCCCTGTGTTCCCGCTCCTGGACCCTCCAGACCCCAGCCTTGCCTCGCGCTGGGAGGGGAGATCCAGAATGAAAGGCAAGAAAGGTAAGGCGGCCGCGGGCTGCGCGCACCGGGAGACGCGAGTCCGGGGAAACGTGCTGGCCGGGCCGCGCCGCGCCGCTCGGAGTCACTTGGTGGACTTTTCCGCCCAGGGGCTCTCATGCTGGAGCGGCGGCCGTGCTCTTTGTTGAGGCTGCGTCTGAAACGGCAGCGGCTGTTTTCCTGCTAGACACAACACGAGGGGCTGTTGTGGAGCGAGCCTCTCCACGCTGTTGGCACGTTGTCAAGAAACACGCTCAGTGCCTTGTTTGTGCGCCTGCAAGTTTCATTGTCTCCGCCGACACCCCACGCTCGGCCCAGCCGCCGCGTGGCTCCTCGCTCTTTCTCGCGTGCTGAGGATATGGGGTCCGAGTAGGGAGGACCCACCACCTCGTTTTTCCCGATCCGGACGGGGCCGCTGGACCGCCGCGCCTTTGTCTGAAAGTTCCACTCCTAGGCCCCCCCGCCCCCGCCGCCCCCCTACTCCCAGCCGGGCCCTAGCAGTGTTCTTTAGGGATGTGGTGTTTTTACGATAGAAGGAATGCGATTCTGGACCCCCTCATCGCCCTCGGGTGTAAACATCTCTGGAAAGCCAGACTTTTACAAATTCCCAGTCTCTAAAAGTTTTCCCACGATGAATTTTGGGGCAGGAGGAAGAGTTAGGACCCAGGGCCAGCAGCTTCAAGCGGCATGCAGTCAAAATGTGTCCAAATGTGACAAGCAGGCTTGGTTGTAAGTGCAAAGAGCAAGGCTGTCATTGTTTCCACGAAGCGTTCTGGAAGCTTTACAACTAAAACTTGCCGTCAGTTTGGTTTAAAAACAAAATACACCAGAGGGGGGAGGCCGGGGGGGAAGAAAGCACACACAACACCCCGAAAGGTCAAAGACTGTGAAGTCCCTTTTGAAGTTAACTTTTGAGTCCCTGGTTGGGAGGTCCCCCGAGTGTTCCGCCGTGGGCTGGAGGTGGCGTTTCTGTTGTGATTTATGTGGAGTGGTTCAAAACAGAAGTTAATCGCTCGGGAAGCGGACGGGCGGGGCGGCGCTACTGCGCATGCCCGGGAGTCGCCTGGAGTTTAGAACTCCGCATTCTTTCAGACCCAGCCCGCTGGGGGGCGTTCCTGGGGGGTAGCCGCAAGGCCAGCGGGGTTCCTTCGGCTGCGTTTCTGTGGGAGGCCCTGAAACGCGCGGAGCTTCTCTCTGCCGCCAGACTTTTCCAGCGAGAGTGAAATTAAACGTGAAACTCGGATCAACTGGTAGTCGTTGGCGGTAGAACGCCCTAAGGACCCCCTCCCCGCGATACGGAGGGCGGACTCGGGACAGGGAATTGGCTCTGGGAGAAAACGCGCGGGGAGCGTCCGAGACGAGACGCCCAGTGAAAGCCGTGCCGACCCTTGAGGGGACTGACAGGTCTAGGGAGACGCGCTGTCTGTTGTGGTGGGCCTCCCCGGAATAAGTGAGGGCTCTGTTTCAAGGATGATTCTAGCGCAGAGCCGGGCTTCCGCCGGGGTGGGCTCCCCGCATTGTTCGGGCTCTGGCGGGGGCGGCTCGGATTACTTTCCACGGCCCGCCCCCCCACCTCGGGAAGCCTCAATGCTCCTTTTCCACGGCTTTCCTGGCGTCCCCCTGACTCTCCCGCGGCACTTTCGCCTACCTCCCCCCAACGCCCTGGTCCTCCCTGGCGACCCCCTTTGCATTCTCGGGGTCCTCCTGCCCCTCCCGCGGCGCGCCTCCCACAGCCGCGTGCCCTCTGCCCGGAGCTGGGGACCAAGGCTGGGCCCCGCCGGCCGCATCGGTGGGGAACTCCCGCGGTCCCCATCCCAGGGCGCATAGGGTCCAGCTCCCCGGCGCCGACTCATGGAAACAATGAAAGGTGACGGGCTGAAGGGGAAACTTTGCGACTGGTTCAGGGCTCGTCGGGGGAGCCGAGGCTGCCGAGGTTACCTGGGTTTCTTTCCCTTTTTAGGTTTCCCTGGCTAGTAGTCTGGTGTGGGCAGGACCCTGAGAACGTGGGATTCACGGCCTCATTTCTAGTTTATTGGGACCTGGAGTTCCTTTGCTTGTGCTAACTCGTGCAGTATGCGGGCCGGCCTATTTCACTTGAGGCTGAGGAACTCTGAAGAACAAAAGCTACTTGCTTTTCCTCCTTGGGCCCCTCCCTCTCGCCGTGCTCCTCCGCGGTCCTCCTCTAAAACTACCTGGGAGGGGGGAGCCTTCCCCGTCGGCTCTGGAAAGACTCCTGAGGAAGTCGGGCCCGCCTTACTGTCCGTCGTATAAAAGTCCGCAGTCTTTTCAAGTTCTCTTGAAACAAGTGCACTTTCAGCTCCATTCTTGAGCCCGTGGTTTGGTAAGACTGGTTTGTGATAATAGTGTGTCCTCCCAGAAAGCCGAGAGTGACGCCAAAAGACCTCCTAAAATGGCTTAAAAACAATCAGAAGGATCGATAAGGAAAATCCACTAAGCCTTTTTGCTCCCAGTTTTTAACTGTTGAATTCCTGCTTTGGGATTGCTCTTTGGCTGGGGTCGCCAACCACACCTTGGATTTGGTGGCTTGGGTGTTCGATTCCTGTTGCTTCTCCCAAGGAGATACTGATTTTTTTTTTTCTTTTTATCCTGGAGACCGGGTCCGGCTGTGTTGCCCAGGCTGGCCTTGAACTCCTGGGCTAAAGAAATCCTCTCGCCTTGGCCTCCCAAAGTTCTGGGATTACAGGCAAGAGATAGTGCTCCCGGCCCAAAGGAGAACTTCTGGTCAGGAAATTTGCTGGGTTAAATTTGCTTTTTCCTAACTGTGCACCTCGACTTTCCCCATCGATCTTACTTCTCGAGTCTCTTCACAACCACTGTCTCCCGGCCTCCCTGTCTCATCATGATGTTACCGACCTACTCAGAAAAGAAAGTGCAGGGCCGGGCGCGGTGGTTCATGCCTGTAATCCCAGCACTTAGGGAGGCCTAGGCGAGCAGATCACCTGAGGTCAGGAGTTCGAGACCAGCCTAACCAACATGGAGAAACCCCGTCTCTACTAAAAACACAAAATTAGCCCGGCGTGGTGGTTCATTCCTGTAACCCAGCTATTCGGGAGGCTGAGGCAAGAGAATCGCTTGAACCTGGGAGGCCAAGGTTGTGGCATTTGCACTCCAGTCTGGGCAACAAGAGCGAAAGTCCGTCTCAAAAAAAAAAAGAAAAGAAAAGAAAAAAGTGCAGGAACAAGTTGGTCGCTGCTTAGAGCAGTGGGATCCTCAGGCCATGTTGTGGCTTTCCACACAACATTTCCTTGTATGTGGATAGAGTGAACGAAACTTGTGATTCTGCCCCCATCCTCCCCACCGCCACATTTTTTAAAGTGTAAGCAAAGCAACACGTTTGGAAACAAGTCTTAACCGGGGAACTTTTCAAAAGCGCTGTTACAATAGGAAATGAGTAAAGAGGAAAAAAGTCTTTGTTTTTCCAAGCTGAGCCACAACCAGGAGGAAGAGTTTTAATGAAAACAGTCCTGACAGCAGCAAACGTGGTTTTACTGCAGTGAAATATCAGCTGGCGTAGCCAAGGAACTGAAGTTTTAACTTCCTGTTACTTCAGCTTTTGTGCACATATTGGAAATATTTGTTAAGAGTTCCAGAGGCCTGGCATTCATTTATTTAAATGAACTGAAAAGTCGCGCTGCAGTTTGGTGTTGCTTAACTGAAACCTGCTTTTGTGTGTCACTAACCTATTCTGAAAGATCAGCCTTCTTGTCAAACTAGGCAAGCAGATCAAAGGGCAGGCTTCAGGGGCTTTTTTTGTTTCAAACTCTGTGATTACCAACTTACAGTTGGGAATTCACTGTTCAATGAGCAAATTTTCACACTTTTTCTAGATTAAAAAACGGAGGGAGATAATAGCCTTGAGAAGAATGTCTGGCTTTTCAGATGTTGGAGAGTTGAAACAAATTGCTGTATTCAGGTTTGCTATAGTCATTTAATTAACTTGACACGTTTTTTTTAAAAGTTCGATTTCTTTAATTATCAAAGCCAGTGTGAGACAGGAACCCAGCTGTAATTTCTTTAAGCTTTTTCATTAATAGTTTTTCACCCAAATTTCAATATGGGTTTGAAAGGCTCGTCAATAGTGAAAGTAGTTTCAGTTTTAAATGGGCAGTTTTTAAAAACTTCAAAAACTTAAATCATCAGAGGAGGGAAATTTCAAATACACAGCAGTTAAAACTTAGGATTCTTGTGTGGTTTATTTGTAGCTGTTTATTAAGCCGCGAGCTAAAGTGAATTTGCAAGATCATCCACCTCTTTGTTAGAACTTGCTTTACTTTGTCTGGAGAGTTCTGCCTTTTGTAGGAATACCCTGCAGCACCTTCTGCCCCCTGCAGTCCAAAACTAAAAATGTGTCACCAAGTCAGAGTCAATTATAAGGGTGGGAAAAATTCCTTAAAAAAAAAATGGTGTTTAGCTTAAGAGGAATATTCCATTTTTATTTCCTGTCAAGGTGAACTGGCTCAATTAAGGTCAAGTCATATTTTCAACCAAAATTACATACTACAGAGGAAAGAAAGCATACAAAGCTAAAAATGCATACCTTTACATTTTTTGTTATTGTAATTACTTCCCCTAATATAGAAGTGCTGATTTTTTTCAAGCATGCCATTGTTTGTAATTCATTTCTGTTTTTAAGATTCTAGGTTGTCTACAAGCAAAAGAATGTATTTCTTTAGTCATTCGGAGTAGCCTGCTGTAGTTTTTGAAAGGTGGAGTTAATAGCGTTTGTTATTTAATTTTTTTTTTAAGTTCAGAATGATGTTTAAATATCTGTAAAGGCCAGGTCTGAAGCTTTATTGAATCCAGTCCATCTGTGATTTAAATATTCTCTATGGCTTGTGAATTCTTAAAATTTCTGGCAGGATTAAAGTACTTACAGCCAAAAGAGCTTCCTCTGGGGCTTGCATATTCAGTTTCCTTTGTCATGTAATCATTTAAGACTAAACTCTGCTTATTGATATGTAGTATTCTATTCTAGATTGAGATCAAACCGGTAACTGAAATTTAGGAGACATTTTTAATTCATTTAGTATTAGGCATCTTTTGACCTTACCAAAGTACCAGTAGTAGTAGAAAAATATTTTTGTGTGATGAAACTGAAAACATCAGTAGTTGTATTTAATAAAAGGTGACTGGTACTGCCCATTTAATGTAGATGTCTAACTTTGAATAAATGTAGGTAGCAATGAATAAGCAATGACCATGCATGGTGTTAGCAGAAAATTTTAACATGTATTTTACCTTTAGAATACTAACTGGGTTCAGTGTAGTATGTAATTTTCCTTCCTTGTATCCGTGGAAAACAATGTGCAAGTGCCGCCTTTTATTTCAAACCTTCAGTAGAGAAAGGAGGAAGAGTAACATTTTAAATATACATTAGGATACTGGTTAGGTTGCTTCTCCTAGCTAGCACTGATCTTAGAAGGAAGGTTGGTAGGCACATTCCAACTGCCACAGCACCCTTCCTGTTTTCAATGTGGCAGGTTATTCATTTGGGTGCAGTTTGTCTCCTCCAATGATTAGACAAAAGAGTTTTCTGAGCATCATTCAAAAGGAATGTGAGAAGTTAATGAATCCTAGAGGAAAGCGGCTGAGAAAAGGCGTCTCGCGTTTGGTTGAGAACCTCCCATGTGGTGCTAGTCAAATTACTTTTATTTGTACCCTGAATTCAGGACAGAAAACACTGCTCCTTCCCCTCGCTCTCAGTTGTTGGGAAAGCATGGTTACACTGAATGCTCAGCCAAAGTGAGCTTTGCAGTAGTTGCTGTGCTTATAGAGCAATTGACAACTGGCCTTTGTCCTTTCCTAGGTATTGTTGCAGCATCTGGCAGTGAGACTGAGGATGAGGACAGCATGGACATTCCCTTGGACCTTTCTTCATCCGCTGGCTCAGGCAAGAGAAGGAGAAGGGGCAACCTACCCAAGGAGTCTGTGCAGATTCTTCGGGATTGGCTGTATGAGCATCGTTACAATGCCTATCCTTCCGAGCAAGAGAAAGCATTGCTGTCCCAGCAAACACACCTGTCTACACTACAGGTAAAGAAAGAGAGCATGAGGTTTACAGATGCATTTTTATTTTCAAAGTCATTTTATGGCATTCCTGTGTGTCAAGTCATTAAGCTCCTTTCCACTCAAAGACAGAAGGAATATCTTTTTATTGTAAACTTGATAGTGTTAAAAGCTAATAACTAGCTATTTAGAGAACACAGAAACACTTGACAGTCATCTGTCAGATAACATTTCCTTTAATGCCTAAAAGAACCTTCCTTTATGCAACAGACATTAAAAGGAGGTTAAACCTTACTCTATTGCCCAGGAAACTGGTTTGATATTTAAACAAGGACGACTTCAGTGAGGTTATTCATGTTCTGTCTGTTGACATAGTCATTTGAACTGGGAAAAATCAGTTACTGGGAGGAGTGGCCCTTTTCATAAGGAGAGGTGTTCCTGTAGTTGATTAACTTAAATGTTGGGGCAGTAGGTGATAGGTTAAAATGGGGAGAGATAAAAGGTAAACCTCTCTCTCAAATCATTTTTAAGCATTTGAGATTTTATATCTTTTTCTTCATCCTGAAAAGGTTTAAGTATGAAGAGACAAAGAAGGAAATTTGTATTAGAAACTAGAAGGTTTATGACAGGAGATAGCTTGCTTTCTTGGCGGAGCTCAAATACCTTGAAATAGCATTGTAAGTTCAGGTAAGCCTTTTCATGCTTTCTTTAATACAGAGAGCAAGATCAATTAGGTACCCCATAGAACGTTCTCAGAACCCGCTGGCTGAGTGAATGAGTAAAGTGTTAAAGCGTACCTATATGATTTCAGGTCTGTAACTGGTTCATCAACGCCCGCCGCAGGCTCCTCCCTGACATGCTGAGAAAGGATGGCAAAGATCCAAATCAGTTCACAATTTCCCGCCGTGGGGCCAAGATTTCTGACACGAGCTCTGTGGAGTCCGTGATGGGCATCAAAAACTTCATGCCAGCTCTAGAGGAGACCCCTTTTCATTCCTGTACAGCTGGGCCAAACCCAACCCTCGGGAGGCCACTGTCTCCTAAGCCGTCATCCCCGGGATCAGTTTTGGCTCGTCCATCGGTGATCTGCCATACCACTGTGACTGCATTGAAAGATGGCCCTTTCTCCCTCTGCCAGCCAGTTGGTGTGGGACACAACACAGATATACAGCAGATAGCGGCCAACAACTTTACAGACACCTCTCTCATGTACCCAGAGGACACGTGTAAATCTGGACCAAGTACAAATACACAGAGTGGTCTTTTCAACACTCCTCCCCCTACTCCACCGGACCTCAACCAGGACTTTAGTGGATTTCAGCTTCTAGTGGATGTTGCACTCAAACGGGCTGCAGAGATGGAGCTTCAGGCAAAACTTACAGCTTAACCCATTTTCAAGCAAAACAGTTCTCAGAAATGTCATGATTGCCGGGGTGAAGGCAAGAGATGAATTGCATTATTTTATATATTTTTTATTAATATTTGCACATGGGATTGCTAAAACAGCTTCCTGTTACTGAGATGTCTTCAATGGAATACAGTCATTCCAAGAACTATAAACTCAAAGCTACTGTAGAAACAAAGGGTTTTCTTTTTTAAATGTTTCTTGGTAGATTATTCATAATGTGAGATGGTTCCCAATATCATGTGATTTTTTTTCCTCCCCTTACCCTTTTTTGTTATTTTTTCAGACTGTGCAATACTTAGAGAACCTATAGCATCTTCTCATTCCCATGTGGAACAGGATGCCCACATACTGTCTAATTAATAAATTTTCAATTTTTTTTCAAACAAGTATGAATCTAGTTGATTGATGCCTTTTTTTCATGACAATAAAGTATTTTCTTTAAAAATTGTTGTAATTCAGAGTATTTCTGTTGAGGGAGGCGCTTCTTAAAAATGAGGAGGAATATAGCACTCCAGTGAGCAGGAAGCTGAGGGGGTAGGGTGCAGTGTTAGGGGGTGTCAACAGCTCTTTGAAAACCTGTGGACAACAAGCCAGTTTGCATAAACAGGATGTGTGATATTTACTCTTGATAGGAGGCATAGCAGGCCCTTAGAGCTTTACTTAAACTGCATGGCAAATTGAAATGAATCATTTCAGTGTTTAGCTAGCCACTAAATCCCTTACTGATCTGTCCTGCATAGTTTAAAACATGGCCGTGTTGTAAAGAAAAGTCTTGAAGCATCCGGTTATTGCTAAGCTTACAGAAGAAAACAACCCAAGCAATCTCTTGCCCTTTTTCCATGTTACCCTTTAACCTTTGTTCAGTGGTACATTTAGTTAAGACATTTGTATTCAGATATAGCATAGTATTTGCAGAGAAACTACCTTTTAAAACATCTTAAAATGTTGTCTAAAATGATGAAATAGACAGTGGGGTTCTGTCTATGGTGGGATTGTTAGTTTATTAGGTGAGTATTTTCCAAGGTCACAGTTTGTGGAAAAATGGTGCTATGTACAAGTGGAGTTGGTTGGGATAGACAATCACTTATAAAGCCCAGATGGCCAGAAGGGAATTGGTGTTGCTCCTGTCACTTGTATGGTTGAGCAGATTTGTCACATGCCACAAAACCATTCTTTGTAGTCATGCTTAGTACGAGCTTTCTTTGTTGTTACAGTCATGTTCTTTCCAGCCCTGCCCCAGCTATGAATTGTCTAAGTGTGAGGGAGCATCGGAGCTTCAGTATTGTTTAAAGAATGTAGAAAAATCCTACTCACAAATTTGTCTAATTTTGAAACTATTTTAGAAAGTCCCTACTGTAGAAAGAGCTAAACTCAAAAGACTTTTCTTGTAAGTGAAAGAAGAAAACTGCTGATGACTACTGAGAGGTATAAGAAAATGAAGTGAGGGAATGTGCTCTAGCCTGTGGGGTGCAGCTTTGGTGGGGCACATCAGCTTAGAGTGGTCTGGCCCCACCTCAGAGAGTCACAGAAATAGACAAAAACCCAAAAAGTACTAGTAAAGTAAATACAAGGAACAAAATAAACATTAATAAAAATGAATGACGCAAAGGTGATCAAGAATCATTACTTGCTCCAACAGCTAGATCAAAGGCTGAACATTTTGCTTTAGCATAGGTGAGGGAAATGAGCAAGTCCTAAAAGGCTTGCCCTGTTAAACGGTGTTTCATCACTCATACTGGAAGGGGAAGGAAAGGAGCCATATGACTCATTTAAAAGAAAAACGAAGTCACCTTAAATTCCCTATGTTTTACTTCATTTTTTCCCTATTAAGGTTGTTACAGATCATGGTTGATAATAGCTGATGTTGAATGAATGTAATCCATTATCTAAAAACAGGTACATTTAATTGAAAAGATACATGTAAAAAGCTGTTCATATCAAAGCCAAATAGGAATGATTTTTATGCTTATACTTTCCATGGTGCAATATATCTTTTTAATTTGTTTACTTTTCACCTATTTGTGTTTTTGAAGTTCATCCCATCGCGTGTAGTTTGGGTCTGGCTTTTTTATTTAGTCTAGTGATCTCTGCCTTTTACTTAACATTTGTCAATTTACATTTACTGTAATTATTGATATGTTTAGACTGAGTTTACCATTTGGCTTTTTTCTTTGCTCCTCTTTTCCTGCCTTCTTTCAGGTTGAATGTTTTTATTCTCATATATATCATATCATATATTATATATCATTTATTGTTGTATATGATATATATTATATATCATATTAAGATATTATATATGAGAATATCATTATTCTCATATATATAATTCTCATATATATAATGTCTTTTTCTCTGATTTTGTTTCAATTTTTCTTTTTAAAAAAGTGTTCTTTTTTTTTTTTTTTTTTTTTGAGACAGGATCTTGCTCTATCACCCAGGCTGGAGTGCAGTGGCGTGATCTTCGCTCACTGCAACCTCCGCCTCCTGAGTTCAAGGGATTCTTGTGACCCAGCCTCCCAAGTAGCTGAGATTACAGGCGTGCACCACCATGCCCGGCTACTTTTTTTGTATTTTTAGTAGAGATGGGATTTCACCATGTTGCCCAGGTTGGTCTTGAACTCCTGACCTCAAGTGAATTGCCCTCCTCAGACTCTCAAAGTGCTGGGATTACAGGCATGAGCCACCAAGCCCGGTCTATTTTTATAGATTTAGGGGGTACAAGTACAGTTTTCTGTTTTTTCTATTGGTTTATAAACTATACACCATATTTTTAAAATGGTTCTTCTAGGGTATTACAACATACATGTTTAACCTACTGCAATCCACTTAGGGTTAATATGATACAGCTTCATATAAAATACAGAACCTTGCAACAGTATAGTTCCATTCACCCTCCCTCTCCTCTCTTCCTTCGTTTTTCACATACATTTACAGCTACATACATGATAAACACAACAGTACGATGCTATCATTTTCACTTAAAACGAGCATCATTCAAATGATTAAGAGAAAAAAGAATGTATGTATCTTTTATATTTGCCAAACATTGACCATTTCTGATGTTCTTCATTGTCTCCTATAGATTTGAGTGACATCTAAGGTCTTTCCTTTTCAGCTTGAATGATTTCTTTGAGAGTTGTAGTCCAGGACTGCTTGTGACAAGTTTAGGCTCATTGAAACGCTTTGAAAATGAGCTCATGGAAAATGGCTTTATTTCACTTTAATTTTGGAAGGATCATTTCACTGATGGGGAATTCTGGGTTGATAGCTTTGTTTCTTACAGCACGTAAAGGCATTTATTGTCTTTTGACCTCCATTGTTTCTGATGAGACATCAGCTGTCATTTGTTTTGTATCATTAGTCTCATATGTATAATGTCTTTCTCTGGCTGTCTTATTTTTGAATTTTAGCAGTTTCACTAAAATGTGCCTACATATAGTTTGTTTGTACTTATTTAGCTGGGGGTTCATTGAGCTTTTGGATCTGTAAATCTATGTTTTTATTTTTATTTATTTTAAAATCAAACTTGGGGAAATTTTGGCCATTTTTTCAATTTATTTCTTGCTTTCCTGTCTCCTAGAGCTCCAGCAAATTTACATTAGATCACTTGAGGTTGTCCTACATGTCTCTGAAGCTTTTTTTTTCCTTTAGTCTTGTTTCTGTTTTAGATTGAATAATTTGTATAATTTATTTGCAATTCACTAACCCTTCTGTCTTCAGTCTGCTGATGAACTCATCCAGTGGACTTTCATTATAGTTATAGTATTTTTCACATGGAAAAAATTTCCATTTGGTTCTTTAGCATTCCTAATTCTCTTCTGAGATTGCTCATTACTAATTATGAATATATATCCTTATAAGCATTTATAATAGCTGCCTTAAATACTTGTTTGCTAATTGTAACATGTCCCAATCAGAATCAGTTTCCATTGACTGTATTTCACTTCTGTATGGGGGTCACTTTTTTCTTTTTCACTCGTCCAGTGATTTTTTATTATATGCTGGACAATATGGATGGTACAGCAATAAAGACTATGGATTCAGCTACATTCCTCTGAACCGTTAACTTTTGTCCTCAAGCAGCTCGTTCACCTGAACTGAAACTTCAAACTATCGTGTAATGAATCACAGCTGAAGTCTCTGATTAGTTTTCAGCTTCCGGCTGCTGCCTTTAAGTTGGGCCACTGGCGTCTCCCGTGCTGCACAAACCAACTAGGGATTTGAACAAAATTTCTATTCAGAGGTTGAGATTTGCTCCTTCTTCAGTTCCCCTCTTTCCAGAATTATTCTCCTAACTTTCTTAACTTTTGCTCTGCTCTACCCACCCCATTTCTGTCCTTGACATCTCAAGCCACTGAAGTTGCAGCTTTCTGCCACCCGTAACCTTCTGAAGAATGAGAACTGCCTTCAGCCATAAAGGTACAAACTTGTACATCTTGAAGTTATCTTCTTTTAGGGGGAGATGAGCCTCCAGTTTTTGCTTTTGGTTACTCTTCAAGCCTTCAACTAGCTTTTTGTTTGTTTAACTTTTTGTTCATTCACACTTTATGATTGTTGCCCGGAGGGAATTAGTCTGAAAAAGGAAAAAAAAAATCCACTATTACTAGAAACTAGAATTTTACTATAGTTACTTTGAAACTCCAAATCAGTGGTTCTCAAACTTAACTGGACACTAATGGAATCACCTAGAAAGCTAAAAAATAAAATAAAATAAAATAAAATAAAAATACTGTGGCCTCGAGTTGGGAATTTTTAGATCTCTTAGTCATTCCAATGCATAGACAAGATTGAGAACCATTGCCTTAAATAATTCTTTAAATCAGCCATTGTTTCTCTCCTTATCCAGAACATGGGGAGTTGACCATTCTTTTTCCAGACCTAAAAACAAAACAAAATTGTTTTTGTAGTCTTTTTGTTTGGCCAGAAGGACTGAAAATTAGAGTCTTACAGAAATGTAATTTGTCTTACAGAAATGTAATTTGCTGTAGAATTATTTTGTCACCCAGGTCAGCTTGTTCAATTAGAGTTTAGCATAAATTTGGTATTTGGGACTATATACACATAACTCATACCATATGTAAAGCTAAGCCTCTGAGTGATAGACCCCAAAACACTGCAGGAATACAAAATATTCATTTGTACTAAATCAAAAAGTAAAATTTATCTCTGGAAACTGGCCAGAGAGCAAAAACCAATGTTTAGAGATCAGTTTTAGGTCTCATTAAGCTCATTAACAGGAGAATGTGTCAAGTCTTAACCTCCAAAAATCGTGACCTCTAATTAAAAACGGCTATGTTCTGGGCTGAGTTTTATGATTCAGAGGCTGAAAAGAGAGACGTTCAATAAACGCTTTGTGGCTGAAAGAAGAGCAGTAACTTAGGGTTAATGGTTACAATAGCACAGCTGGCAAAGAAGGGAAGCATGAGAAATCAATGAATAAAAATA